TCAAAAAAATATAATAAAATATCAGTAAATTGGTGGAGAGTGAGCAGACTGAGCACCCTAAGGTCATACATCTTAGCTAAAGCATTGTCTGTCACATATAATAAAATGCGGGGCCCAGTAAGCATAGCTAAAAGAGAAGAAAAACTTGCCATTTTTGGATGAATATCGCATTTGTGGGCCAGTATAGACAGCTTTATGCGCAATAGCTCTTTTCTTAACTTCCTCCTCCCTTGCTAATACACGCTCCAAGTGCCTCAAATTCATAATCTCTGCAATATATTAATGATAAAGAAGTGAAAATTACAAGCTCCTTTACTATTATTAAATCCATTCATCACCTCATTTAAGAAAGAATCAAAATATGAAACCTGTCTGGGCAGCTTCCAAGAGCATTTCTTCCTGAGACATTCGTTTCTCCTCGCCTTCTTTTTTCCTTTTTACGGGCTGATAATTATTTCAAATGAAACAAATGCTTCAAATCAGTGAAGTAATTACTTTTCTATATCTCGGAGCAAAGATATGTGAACCAGAGTAATTCAAGATATAGCATATAGTTTTTAATATTTAGTAATTTGTAATAAAATTTTGATGAATGATATTGACATAAACAATTACATATCATGTTGATAGCAATAGAAACAGTTTCATTAAAAATCTGTGCATGTCTTATGCCTCTCCTTACAAGTGGACGATTCTTATCTACCACAAGCACTGAAAGGTCCTTCATGGCACTAATGGTGGAAGAGAATGGTGGATCAGGTGGCGACAATGGCGGGTGTGGTGGCGGCAGTGGCTTTTATGGCAGAAGAGAACATGGTTATGGCAGTTGATGGTGGGTTTTCTTAAATGAAGGATGAGTTTATGAGAGTGGTTAGGTAATTCGAAGGATTATTCAAAGAGTTAAAGTAATGTGGGACCACTGGACCAGTGAATAGTGTTTTTCTTAAAGTGTGATAAAATGTGTGCTGCATGTAAATAAACATGGAGGAAGTATAAGCTTTGGAATGAAAGGTGACTGACAACAGCAAGAGAGATGCCTGGCAAAGAGACAATTTAGAGCCTAAGAGCATAATCCGGAGCCTCTTTCCTACCCAAGGCATTAAACAGCTTCATCCTCTTGTCAACAGAGTGACAGTAATCATAGTATGAAGCAGAAATCTCTACCTCACAACCCACCCATCCACCCCCACACACTTCCCAATAACAAAACCCAAAAACTACTGCTTTTGTTAAAGGTGGAAATCCATGAACAAAATATGCATATATGAACTTATATAAATTATAGAATTATGAAATTTCTAATGGAAAAAAAATTAAATGAAATAAAAATTAAAAATAAATAAATAAATAAAAAAAAAAAATTACTGTGGAGGCTACAATGAAGTATCAATATAAACATCAAAGAATGGGGGGAAAGACTGACCTTCATTGTAGCCTGTAATGCAGCACGAATTGCTTCTCTTTCAGCCTGCCTAACGATAACAGCAGTTCTAGTAGATTTCCTCACAGATTTTTCTCCTTCAGCTTCATCACCTTCCTCATGATGATCTGAGGTGGTAGGTTGTCCAGAACGTTTTTCTTCATCAGGAACCTCCACTATTTCTGAAACATCCTTATTCATTTCATCCTTCAAAGATTCTTCCAATTTAGAAAGGTCCTTCTTCTTTTTCTTCTTTGTCTGTGGCTTTCCTGTATATATAAGTCGTTTCTTTGGCCTCTTCTCCCTGCAAAATAGCAGACCCTCCGTTACAATTTCATTGTCAGAATCAAACAACAACACAAGTTTTTACAATCAATATAAACCTTGCTTCTGCCTCATTCTGTACTCCATCATCAGGCTCAGGCTCCTAAAAAAAACAAGTGTATATATCTTAGCTCAGGTACTCAAGAGAACGAAACCTCATTTCAGAAAACAATCAAAACACACAATGCTGCATTGCGAACTTAAATAACAACAAGAAACTTAACAGTGTATAAAATGTTTAAGAACAAACTTAAACAATAACCAGAAACTAAAAGGTGCAAATATTTTTTTTAATGAACATGATAGCAGCTGTTTAGACACTCACATCTTCACCAAAGTCACTATCAAACTCATCAGCAATCTCCGGTTCCGCTTCATATTCTCCATCATTCTCTTCCTGAGACATGACAAAAGCATTAATACAAAGAAAAATCAAGTCATGCACTATTGAAACATGATAAAAGCAAGATTATAAACCACCATTGCATCAACAAAATAACAGTTACTTCAGTTACTTAGCAAGACATTTCATGAAAGCTCTTCCCCAGCTAAATACATGCATTTAATTATGAAATTAGAGGAGCGGGATAAAATAAAGAAGTAATTATTAATTATCCTGAAAACCCAATTCAAACTTGATACAGCAATTCTGAAAAAGGGCAAATAATGTAGACGGAATTCGACCCGAGATCTTGGGTACCACCCCTAAAGAAAGTTCATTCTCAGCTAAATAACACAAGATTACCTCCAAAAGCGCGTCTTGATTCCAGAAAGCCTCATCCTCTTCAAGTTCATCATCAAGCAATTTGGTCATCCTGGTAAACATAGAAAACACCCATTACCTCAAAATTCAAAAAAATACAGGAAAATTAAACAATTAAGTCACAAATTGAAGTTTTCTGCTACTAAAATTACTGGAAGAATCCCACCTTTTTCCTCGAGTTGCTCGAGAAATACGATCAAGTATGGGTGGTTGTTCTTCATTTGAGGGTTCCATGATTTCTGAAAAGATTGAAAATTGAAAAGCCTTTTGATGATAATCCTCCGAATTGTATTGAATAAGTAGGTAAATAGCTCGAAATTAACTGAAATGTTAACAAAGTGGGTTTGTGAGAGAAAAAAAAAAAAAAATCAGTATCAACGAATGGAAGTAAAAGAAATTAAGAAACGAAGAAACAAGACAGAGTAGTGTAGTCGTGTACAGTGTAATGCGTATGTTATCCGGTGACAATGGTTAGTCGGCGGCAATCAGGTGACGGTGGTCCGAGGGGTTTTATGCCCTTTGTCTGTTTCGTTGGCGCAGTTTTTTTTTTTTTGAAAGATTGCGCAGTTATGCTAATAACATGAGAGATTGAGAGAAATCGTGAATTACTTGCTCACTTGAGACAGCAATTCACATGAATGAACTGTAACGATGTTAGCAGTTTTACAAAAAAAAAACTTGACCCGATATTAGGTACATGGTTTGTAATATTGAAAAATCCTTTTAAAAATGTGTTTGGTGAGACTTGACCCGTGACCTCAAGCCTATAAGTCGGATAACTAGCCAACTAATCTAACCTCCTATCTCATTCGCGTAGGATTGATAATAGGGTTTTGTTAATTGTATTGCTTTGGTATGAAACCGCTAACATCATTAACAGTTTTATTAATCTAGGGTTTTGTTAATTGTATTGCTTTGGTATGAAACCGCTAACATCATTAACGGTTATACGGGTCTATTAATCTAGGAACCTGGTCTCTTTGAATCTACTTGTACATCTACAAATTCCCACATTTTCCCCGCGACCCCACCCTTTGCAAGCAGTCTGCAACTTTTATTTATTTATTTTCAAATGTGTCTGGTCATTTACCTGAGAGAAAGAAAATTGTTGTTATAAAAGTTATGTCTCTTTGAATGTTTTTTTAAAACCAATAAAGCCAATAGCGATTCTTAAACTACTAGCAGTTTTAAGCAGATCCAAAACAAGTACTATGAACCAATCCTACGTGGATGCTAGATTGAGAATTAGGATTGGGAATTTGTTTGACGACTAACACAATTGAGGAATTTATTTTTGTTTTTAGCAACATTGTGGAAAATCACCCAAATTTTTGCTTGTTTTGTACGAATGAAAAAATTATTGACATATAAACAAAAAAAACTTTCATTTATATGTAGTATTTGATTATACCTAGCAAGATACAATTAGTTGTAGTACTACAATTTGTCATTTTCACCCATTAATACTTACACTTACTTATTTTAACATCACCAAAATTATTGATATATTATGCGTGCGACAGGCTTGACTGATAAATTTCACTTGTTGGCAGATATGTTTCATTTGTTGGCTGATATGTTTTTTGTATTGGCTAATATATTCTTTTTGTTGGCTGATATGTTTTTTTGTATTACCTAATATATTATTTTTGTTGGCTGATATGTTTTTTTTAATATCAGCCAACAAAAAGATAAAATCAACAAACAAAACCAACATATAAGTCAACAAAATAAACATATCAGCCAACAAATTGAAACATATAAACCAACCAAATAAACATATCAGTCAACAAAATAAATATATTAGCCAATAAAATAAAGATATAAACCAACTAAAGAAACATATCAGTTATGTTTGATATGTTCCTTTTGTTCGTTGATACATTTATATTTATGTCTTACATGTTCCTAATATTGAATAAAATCAGACATTAACTGGTTGATATATTTCTTTTATGGACTTATTCACATAATTAATCATTCCATCCAACAAAAAAAATCAGATATATTATACAAGAATATAAAAAATAAAAATAAAAAGCAGCACAAACTCATCCCCCATTTCATCTTTTGCTTTCCTTACCTCGTTTTCTCTTTCCTTACTCTTTCTCCATTGTAGTAAGAATCAACCCAAAAATCCAAAATGGAACATCGACCAAACCCCCCCAAAAGAGCAAGAATCGACCCAAAAATCCTAATTCTTCCGCCACCGTCTCCGGCGCCACCGCCGACTCCGACCTTTCTACAGTGATGGTCCATCCTCCGCCGATCCCCTCCGACACTTCCGCCGCCGTCGCCTCCACTTCTCTTTTATTATCAGATATATTTTCAACGCTTTAATGATTTCCTTCGCCGGAGTTCATCGTCTGCTTCAAGATCTCAAATCCAAATCCTCTTTTGCTTCCACTTCAGTTTTTCACTTTTCGAAATCCTTCGCCGGAATTTGTAGCAACTGTGGTCTTTGTCGTCATCGATGCCGACTTCTTTCCGACCTCCACTGTAGTAAGAGTGAGGAGAGAGAAAATAGAGGAATTGGTAATGCTTCATCTATCCCAAATGGTTTTCCACAAAAAATTCATAGTTATGGAAAAGTGCGAATTGCAGATGATCAAACATGTGTGAATTAGGCTCAAACCAAGCCAAGGTTGAACAAGATGCGCTCAAAACTTCAAACACTAATTATTCTCATCAAGTTTAGATTGAGCAAAGTGCAGACCAACTGCAGCCCTTGTCTACTTTCTCTAACATACAAAGTAAATGTCACAAAATACATTTGAGAAATACAAACATAATCCAACATTTGAGTATTACACAGAAAGAAAATGACTAAAGGCAATACATTGGTAAAAATAATGATGTTTACAAATGATTATTATTTCTATATTCTTTTTCTTATCTATCAACCTTGGGTTGTGTATAAGATTTTCCATCATCTACATGTTATGGTACATGCCAAAACTGTATTTCGAACTTTACAACATTTGCCTAAACTGTATTTCGTATAAGCAAAAAAAATAAAAATCGTTTGGAGTGAGCAAGCAGACTTTACTCGCAAGATCAAAATTTGAGTCCAAAGCTATAACAATCCTAAATGATCAAAACGAATGTCTCCTATGTCTTGAACAAGCTTGAAGGAACCTGAACAACATTAAACGTAATATATAAGTTACTGCACAATTATTAATAAGATTAATATGAGTTTATTAAAGAACCAAGTAATTAACAACAAGCTACAATGATAAATTGATATAAGTCACGTTAAGAACCAAGCTCGACCATTTTTCAATTCCCCCCCCCCTCCCCCCCCCCCCCCCCCCCCCCCTCCTTCCTTTTCGTTTCTTCTGATAATGGGTCTCACTATTTTCTTCCAAAGTCCTTCCCAACAGAAATTTCCAGAGTTAAATTAATCACTTCCAGGTTCATTAGTACAAACTCAGCTATCAGTCCATTACTGTGCAAGCTTATCATCATACAACAATGGAAAGCCAAAAAGGCAGCCCATGCAGAAGTGGAGTGGGAGAAAGAAAATGGGTACAGAAAAGAAGACCCAGCAACATATCTAGTTGTTTCAACTTCAAATGTCATAAAAGCATGTCAAAGGGATGTCTTGGACGAAAAACCCTCCTTCTCCCTCCTCCTCCCACCCCCTCCGCCCAAATAAATATGTCAGGTTAACAATGGAAAAGCATAGAGGTTGACTTCACATAAACTCAAATTTCTCTGAAAAACATCAACATACCTTCACATGATGTGGCATGATCTTGACATCAAAGGGCACATGCAGCCATGCTTCAGGTGGATAGAACAAGAAATTTTCTGGCTTACTGGTGTAAACATCTGCATATTGATGGATGTGATAGGCAAATGAGGATTCTTGACCAGTATCAGTGAGGAAAGTGGCCCCAAAAGCCTTGTTGAACATGTTTTTCATGGTGCAGCGTGCTGTTTGCCTCTCCTCATTGAGCTCTTTCATGAGTGACCTGTATGCTTCACTTTTTTGTGAATCTACAACAGTTGCATGCAATCTACCTAGGAGCTCTTGGATAATGTGAAATTTCGCCTGTGCCAAAAGAGAGAGAAAGCTTTAGAAGACCCACAGCATATGAATAAAAGAAATCAAGGGACTTGACACATTTTGAAAACAGAATCTAGCACAAGCATTAATATAGTCCAATAATTTTGGCAAAGATGAGTGTGCAACTGAAATATGTGGTTAAACAATCACATCTAGAAGATACTCTTATTCTATGTGTATTATAACAAGTCTTTATTTTGTCCCCCAATCAAATGGGAGCAACCATCAGTTTATTTAATGGTTTTAATAGTATAGTGTCACAAATTCAAATGAAAATTTGAAATAGCATACATCCTAAAGTAAATCCTATTGTATGCAGCAGATTCATTAATTTTTTACAACAAAAAGTATAAATTTGGATCAGTTGGTCTATGTGAAATCTGCTTTTGATCTCATTTTCTTGAGCAATTTGCTTCATCATTGGTTGGCAAATTACGTGATCTAATCATCATTTGTACATTTAACAAAACTGTAAACTTGTGAAATTCCAGTCATAGGATATCCCAGTTAATCAGATAGCATTGTTTGTTAAGATAATCAATTTCTACATCCTCAACCTTACTGAGATATAGTCAGCAATATGTGAGATTACATCAAGTTGCAACTACTATCAGTGATTGTAAAATATTGGCCACAAATGAATGGGGCAGTGGAGGTGACAAATAAGAACATCACAAAGGTTACCTGCTCAAAACGATAAGATTCCTCATTCTGAATATGTATTTCATTCTGCAAAAATCAAATCAAACCGTTATAAAGGAGCTTGTGAACTGAAAAAACTACACAAGCATCAATGGATGAAATTTGTTCCAGGATTATGATTATAGGAACACTAATCCCATGATAAGAAAGTGGCTATATACATCCACCCATTTGGAATCCTTAGACCCATTAATGCATTAAGAAGACACTGATTTGAAGCATTAATACTGACACACCTTGCTACACTCCCTTGCTTCAAAATTTGTAGAAAAAATTTAAGATCTTTTTTTTAGTTGTGATGCACATCTCATCATCTATACACGATATTACCAACGCCAAATCTTTAAAGCACATTTATCCAAAAAGTAAGCCCCGTAATTATTTGTTAATTCCAAAAAATAACAAAATGCAAAGAGAGTTGGCCAGCTGTGCACCTTTATGAAAAGATGTTGACACAAAGAAAAACCACAATCTACAAAAAATTGCAAATTCAAGATGAGGAATTGATAAAAAAAAAAAAAAAATGATAACATTGGCCAGGTCAAAATTATTATTGTTTAAGAGTAGCTAGTGAGAAGTTCGCCATGTAGAGCACTGCTTAAATTTTTTGATGATGATGATAATGTGCAATGGTATGTAGATGATAAGATGTGTATCATGATTGAATAGAAATACTTCATACAACTTTCAACAATTTTAGAAGCAAGGAGTTGTTTTGAGATTAATACTTCAAACCAGTGGTGTAGAGGTATCAATTTATGTTTTCCATTATTGGGTTTTAGGATTCCAAATTCTCAAGACATTTTAGTTAGTGATATTAGGTTGCAACCCAAGTTAACCACACGAGTGTGTCAAGTAGTATTCTGACATTGATTAAAAGCCTTGATGGGAGCTTGGCAAAGTGACTAAGTAACTAACATGTAAATGCGACAAAGTCATTGACAGCACAGAGCATGTAGTTTCCTTATTGATTAGGATATTATGTTTAGAAATTAGGAGTTTTAGTAGAGGTTTTTACTTATTCTGCTCAAAATGACATCAAAGTAGACACTAGACTGTAGGCTACTAGACCCCCATAAAGTCTTTGCAATGTCAACATCAGAAATCCAAGTCTTAACCATCATTATTGCACAGAAAGATATCAACCTTATCTCATATAGAACCTTCAAATTTCACCTACTTACGCAGTATGCTCTTCTTTCTAACAAGTTTTTCATGTTGTTCATCAGATAAAAGATATAACGATGTCACCCTTAATCTAGTAATTTAAAATGGCTGTGCCGGACATGTTGCTCATAAAATAGTTCTGCTTCTTTCCCACAAAACCTCGAAATTCAAAACAGGTGTGGCAAAGAAATAAATTCAAACCAGTTAACAAAGAAATTATGACCCAGTGAGCATGATAGTAATATCAGTTTCAGGCTTTCAGGATTAGTATATTAAAAGAAGAGGCAATGCAATAAATGAAGAAAATTGCATACATTCCAAAACAATTAATTGATAAGACAAAAAGAATTGTTACAAAAATTAACACAAAACTTACTTCCAATTCATGAATGATAGCAGCAGTACGCCACCCTGCCTTTGAAGGCCCTCTAAGATCGCTAAACAAATGGTCACCAAAGTATATGACCTGCAAAATGTAGATATTTAAAGAAAGGACCAAAAGATGACGCGTGACAGCTAGAATAATACTAAAAGCTTGCAGTTTCAGTGAAGTAATGGTAGCACATTTTCTATACAATTAAGTTCCAGCCAGCAGAATCAGTAGAAGAAACCTAATGCTATAAAGGAGCCTTTCAGGAAGATAAAGCAAATTTTGACATACCTCTGGCCCGTGCCACTTTGTAATTTTGAGAAAGGATTTCAGACATCCATGGTAATATATTTTATTGGGAAGAAAAGCATCCACCTTAGAGAATGCCAACGTATCCTTGCTCGTGTCATAGCATCTGTGCCACATAAAGATCAAAATCAGTACTTTGCAGTCAATGAAATAAAAATACATGAATTCAAGAAAGTAAATAGTACAAATGTTCTCAACCATGGTATATAGTTTTGGAGTTGACCTCTTGGACTCCATAAGTCCAATCAAGTCCAAAGTTTTAACTTTTAAATACTTCGTATATACTTACTAAATTTGCTTCTTATTAATTGACATGTACTTCGATTCATTGATACTTGCACCATTTGCACTTTTATACTATTCACACACTCCTTTGACCATATGTTGAGAGCATAAAGAAAGATATAGTCATGTAGGATCTTGTTAGATTCGTCTAGATATATAATCTCAATACATAAACTTTTTATAACTTTAACTAGAAGATAATTAAAGATATTCACGACAAATTACGTAGTGATAAGCGTAAAACTCCATATAGCACAAGTAAAAAGAACAACGGAAATATTAATATTTGGGAAGTTTCTTTTAGTTGACACATTTTCTGTTTGGGTAACTTTTACCCTTATACTGTTGATTTACCCAGTAGATTTTGCCTTCCCTCTCCTTGCTTTACATTTCCACTAATACTGTTGTACCTACTTGCTTTTGCTTTCTTTCTCTTAACACATAATTTCTATAAGTAATGGGTCTACATTACAGAAACAGGAGAATTATATTTTATAATTATGTCAAAATATACTTCGTATATATTAATCTATATTAAATAGTAGATCTAAGAAAGTACATGTGCCAAGCAGCACCCTTCTCATGCACTAGAAACATGTCACATCATCCACTCAACCGTAAACATTTTAAATAACAATAGAGATGTTTATTATAGGGTTTGAACTTAAGACCAATAAAAAAGAGTAACAAGTCCTACCATCTTAACTATCTTTTAATCGAATACAGTATATTTAATAATATTTAACTTGGATTGGGGGTGCCACTTTACGAGTTATACTACTCATGTGCGATTTTTTGTCACAAACAAATCAGAAGCATATAGTAGGCACAGACACACAAAAACATGCAAAGTGAGACATACATGTATACCCATATACTCAGACATTGGCATGATGGCATCAATGCACGCATATTTACATATACAACAGGGTTTGATTCTCATTTCCCCCTTTTTTTCCGAATTCCAACACACCATACTTCCTTAACAGTTAACATATTAATCAATACCTTAAAGCACAATATTTAAGGGAATTGGAAGCTATAACCTATGTAATCCACATTATTTATAGGGTGTTCAGACTCTTCAGACTCCTTCCATACTCGTATGAAGTGTGAAAACCATTTACAATTAAAGGGGAAGAGGTTATTTCTTCTAACAGGGATTCAACAAACTAGCTAATTACTTTCCAAGCTCCCCTCCCCCCCTTGCCCAAAAAAAAATTTGTGGACTTGTCAAATAGTAAAACAAACTATGAAGTAGATAGCAACTTAACTTCCCATATCCATGACATGCTGGGACAAACCACATATAGATAAATAATGTGATACTGGTTAAGATCTACATATTAATAAACAATTAGAAGAGCATAAGATCTTAACCGGAATGGTCGCTCTGACGTATAAAAGTCTGGCTTATTGGCTTTAGCAATGACTACATCAAATAGTTCTCTCCAAGAGTCACCACAGCCCAGGGAATCCTGATCAACACATCAAAAGAACATTACAATTTTTAAACTTCATGAATCTTCACAAATAAGATATAATTTATTGAAATGACAAAACAAATGTGAAGATCATGTGCAAATCAATTATAAGGATCCTCCAAAATAAAGCAGGAGATTAGAGTATAAATAATATTTTAAAAGTAAATCCTAACAAATAGTTATACTTCTTAACTCAGTTGTTTCTTATCCCAATACATTCTTGGCAATCATGGCTTACTAAAGTTCATAAGGATTGGGAATATGAGGATGTGCACAATCCTCATGCATTACTATAAATCCATACAATATAACAAAGAGACCCAAAACCTACATGGAAGTGAAACCCCAGAAAAACCTTAGAATCTCTTTGCACCCACTCACCACAACCCCCTTCCCCTCTCTCTTCCTTCAGCAACAGATATACGTGCATTAGGAATATAAAAACTATAATATTTTCCTTGAAATCTTGAATTTATAAGTTTATTTTGTCTTCTAATCATGCAAATTGCGCTATTGTCATTGTGAATCTTCTTCTTTTCTACCATTATGGTCCTAAAAACTGTTCATCTGTGGCTATAGGTGTTTGTCGCCATATCTCCTTTGCATTCCAGTGCATAGTCAGTAGCTCCTTTCCTTATCGCTATTTTTCCAAGATATATAGTAAGAGTACAATGTCAGAGGAAAAGTCGTCCTTAGTACAGAAGTCCAATTGCTTTAAAAATCTCTGCCTGAGTAAATCTTAAGGCCCTATGCTAGATATCTAATCAAAGTATCAAACCCACAACAAATCAGTTAATATAGCAGCTCCACAGAAATGCTTGCATTTCATTCTAACAAAAACACCACATAATAGTCATAAAAGGATTCCGCCACATCTTTTCCTTGGCACCTCTAAAGCCAACAAAACAAGCCTATTGCAGACCCAAGTCTCTCCAATGCACAGAAAATAGCCTCCAAGCCTAGATTGCCTTCAAAAAGGCGCACGGCACAGCATAAAAAAACGAACGGCCAACTATGAACTAAACATCCCACTGTTGGTGTTGGTCCTCTTTCCTCAGATAATAATAGTTTTTTTAGTCGTGAAATAATTAAAAAAATAGAAATATATTACTTGGTGGTGAATTGATTTATAAGTATGAGTTTACTAATCTAAGTATTAAAAACAATGTCTAGAGGAAATTGTATATACTGCCAAAAGGTGTTAAACTGGTGAATACCAACTACACATTAATTTTGCATGTTTGTATGTTCTTTAATTTTCTATCTTTAATTATAGATAAGCCAAATGATGATCAAGAATCGTAAGAGCACATAAATTCCAAATTGATGTTGGGCAGTCCTTTTTAATACAGAGAAGAATGGAAGCTAATGGGAAATCAGGGATGCATTACCCAAGAGACTAGGAAATTTATTGAAAATGTTAAAGCTTATACTTGTAGGATGACTTGTGGTAAAATTAAACATATATCATTATCTATTACCATAAATTTATTACTGTAAATTAGAGATGCCATAATTGTTTTCACAATAGAAGCATGTATCTGATTCGTTATTTGTGTTTCCCTCAGCTTGTATTATTGAATTTAGTACCTTTGTAAATTTTATTATATTTTGGCAATTGATAGAATTAATAACCAAGAAAGGTTACAAAGTTACTTACAAGAGAGCTCAGCCTCCAAACCAAAAAAGCCTCAAAAGACACAAGCAGACAACCCTGCTGTTACATCCTCAACTGACTCCTAATAGCATCGGTGCATCTACATGCAACATGAAACATAACTTCCTGAACAATTACATTCAGGCTCTTATGCTCATTTTTAAAGATGATAGCAATCCTAAGACTTCAGATATGATAAACAGACTCTGTAAAGCACATTACATAAAGTTTAAGCCTGTCTTTAACACTTTTGTAAAATTAGTGAACCAAGATGTGCATGAAGGGAAGAATTGACATAGTGTGAAAATTACCTCCAAAAGAAAGCGCAAACCGCCATCAACAAAATAATAGGGTGAATTAGTCAGCAAGAACATTTTCTTTCCTTTGTCTCTTAGCATCTTCAAAAAGCAATACAACTGATCCTGTAGCATTAAACAATGCAAGCAAATATTATTGAGTGCTTTTAAATATAGTAAGCATCATACTATCAAGTTGTAGGTGATAATACTTTTTCAAATGTTATTTAACCATCATCTTGACAGTTTTATAATAACCAACGAGTTTTAGTTACTCCATTTCCTAAGGCAGAAAAGGCTCTAACTTCACTATCATTGAATAAAAAGTAATTTAACCAAATTGCTTATATCTGTAATTCTTATGCACAAACCAAATTGACACTTTAATAAAATCTGAGACAATAATTTTCGTCTGTCCCAAAATATAGGATACACTTTGAAATTTAGAAAGAATTGAGGACATGATGAATCATTTCTCTAGTCACTTTAAAATTCAACACAATATTTTATATTTTTTGTTTAAAATTCCATTACAGTTTTAACTGTATTTTGAGGATGTATCGACTATAAACTTAAAACCTTTTTTTGGGACGAATGGATAGTGGAGTAACACAAAATTACTAGTGATAGTGAAGAAACGGCATAATTACCCACATTTTTAACAAGATATCTCTCAGGATCAGCAATGATTGCCTTATGAGCTGCTCCACTTCTATGAACATGTTGAATTGCATGATTGACATCATGATAGACATAAGAAGCATCAAACTCCAGTTTTTCATCGACAAAATGTTGCACAATGTCAGCGATCAAGCATGCCTTCAATGTAGCAATCATATGGGAGTTAGACAAGCAGACCAGGACTAGTGGGGGGTGGGGGGGGAGAGAAAAAGAGAGGGAGGGGGGCTGCATATAAGTTAAAAGAGTGCAGTTGATGCCAGAAGTAAAATTATCTGCTTCACCATTAAGACTGTTATTGAAGCAATATATATGTTACAAAAAATCATAATAACAACAATCATATGTCTTATTTCCACAAACTTATTGTGAGTTTAACAATATACAAAACCATCAATTATACTCATTCAGTCTTGTCTCTCTTCCATTCCTCTATATTTTTATTCTTTCTGAAAAAATTACGAGGATGGAAAGGGTAGAAGGTGGTTTTAGACTCACAGCTTGATTTCGCTCTATACAAACATTGCAAAGGTAAAACATATTATAAAATAAAAATATTGTACAACCCCACTACAAATTACCTATGCTGGCATAATGTGAATCTATAAATACAAACAGACTAATAATGTGAATCTATAAATACAAACAGACTAATAATGTGAATCTATAAATACAAACAGACTAATAATGTGATTGCTAGAGTAAGGCAGGAAAACAGCATGCAATTATTAGAAAGATATGATGAAAAAGGGCCTTACCTCACTAAAGCAGAAAAAATCCATCAAACTAACAAGCCCCCGTGCTTGATGGCGACCAATATGTCTTGTTCCATACATCTCTATAATCTCCTCCCGCCTTAGCTGTACAGACAAATGGAAAACATCAGCAGGAATCAGATATTCTTCATTATAGACCAATTTATTTGCATCAATTATGCTACACAATGAAATCATTCCTAGGAGACACAATAAAGTCCAATTCTAGGGTGATTGAGAAAAGACATGTGATTCTCAGACACAAATGTCCAGTTTTCCTATCAAATATGAACAGTATAATAAGCTTTGGATCAGATACAGAACATTTTGAGCTAGTGAGGCGCATAAACTTGATAGTTTACTCTAAAATTTTCTGATATTTATTAAGAGCACCACACTTCAATGAGGCTGGCAGCAGGCCCCTCATCGCCTAAAGTGCACCTTGGGCAATTTAATACATTGCTTTAGATTTCTTGTAGCTGCAAAATGTGGTTCACAGTTACCACAATGGTAAAATGAAGCATTTAAGCATCCTATAAAACCGCATTACCATTGTCATCTAAGAGCCAAACTTCCTTTTTCTCCACCTTATTATTTGCTCATTGATGGTTCAACATGGTGCTTAAGTTCAGCTTGGATGGTAGTAATATAGTAACACCTTTAATCATAAAGCATTTTGATAGTGTTCCAATGACATTAACTATTCCACGAATTACATCACTTTCTATGAATCAGCGTACAAAGTTTATATAAAAGCTTGGTTTAGAAAAGTGCAAGGGACAACTAAGACAGAAGGTATGCACATCACAGAAAAGGAGCTCCTTTTTGCAAAATCCTTGCAAATAATATTTTTTTATATCATATTGCAAAACTGCTTCATATTTTATCTTTTCCACTTCCGGATGGGTGAGCTTTAAGAGGGGTAGCAAGAGATAGAAGAATTTAACAAACCAAAAATTCAAAATAAAATGAAAATAATGTTAAAAATATAATGAAAGGGGGTGGGGGTCTCAAAGGCAGATATGAGCATTTATAAACTTTTCCATCAACACAACAGCAAGTTGGCAATGCTCACGGAATATGCCAATGATGACCCAAAAGCTCATCTACACAAGAAGAATCCTTGTGGCAAGTGGATAATAACGGCCCATATCTCATGTGCACAAACATTAATAAGGCTAGTCAGAGGCTATGAGATTGGCCAACAAAGAACAGGAACCCCCAACTTCATGATTAGAAAAGTGAGAGCTCCTACATGATTCCCAACACAGTACATGAGAATCTTGTCATTACCAATCCTTGGAAGTGCTGATTCTGTACAACAGGATAGAGGAATCTACTATCACACTAACATTCCATCCCATTTGTGAAATAATATTCCAAATGACAGTGTTCAGAGTTATTCGTTTTCTAATCCTAAAAAGAGGATTCTGCTACCCCATTCACTTAGCGGTAGCAAGATTACACCAAAATACAACTAACTTATAGCATATTCATTTCAAAGTACAATGTAAACCTCCAAACTCTAATTTCAAGGAAAACACTACTATATAAAATAAATGAGACAATGCATAGAAGCAATGCTAATAAGAGGTCACAACCCACCTTACGACGACCAAAGAAGCATCCATCAGGCTCAATTGATCCGAAAAAATCCAACTTCAAGAGACACCCTTTTAACTTGTCATAGTACAAACCTCTAATAGGGAAGCTATGGTCATATTTGAACTTCAAGCAGCTTTCTGGATACCTAAGCTACAACAATCAGAGTAGACTATGTAAGATATAACAAAGAAACAGATGCTAATGGCTTAAACAACTATTCAAATTTCAAGAAAAAACATTGAACAAACCTCATTGACTAAATGCTCCTTGGCAAGGTCATAAATCAAAGCCTGTAGATAAGCAGAGTAATGTGCTAATGTGTAATCATAGTCAAACCCATAAACTTGAACGTTGTCCAATCTCAAGTTCTTGTTCACATATATCCCTGGAAGAGTAATCCCAACATAGTGTTGATTCAATAATTTAATCCCAAGTCAAAGTGCATTTAAACAATATCAATGTAAAGTGTCTTTACAATATCAATTATTCAATCCAAAACAAAGTGCATTTAACCATTAAACAAGAATCACACCCTCCATTAAAATACAGGTGCCTTTTAACATTCTAAACCGAAATTTAACAACTAATAGTCCATTGATACAAAGTTGCAAACTATACAAGATTAAAAGATTAGCCAAGTGAATGATTAATCTGAAATGGAGGTAGAACTATACCCTCAGGATTCATCTTAGGCATAGACTTGAGAGTCTGTGGAATTTTAAGGAAACACTGCTTGGCAATCTCGAATTCACTCCGAATTCTCTCAACTTCATCCTCGACTACCTCGTCTTTGATTCTCAACACTTTCTGGTCACTGAAATGCCGCAAACTCCCTCCAATTCCTACAAGATTGAACATCATTGCATCAATAATAATCAAAATGCTCAAATTATAACAAAATTCAAACGCAAGAAAAGTCCAAATTTATGATGAATTAAATCAATTAAGTACCTTCAGTAGAAGAAGCAGAAGAAGTCCAAGAACTGCAAGTCCGAGTAAAGACACCAAATGAGCGGGAAGGAAGAAGCCTACGAAATGCAGCCATGGCAGAGGAGGAGAGAGAATTTGTTGAAATTGTTCAAGAATGCATTAATGATGAGGTTGAATTTGAGGGAAATGAAGAATTAGGGTTCTTCGTCGAAGGAATTCTGGTAAAATGTGATGAAGTTTGGGAGAGTTGAATTCGATGTTAATTCCAGAAAATGAAACTTTCGACGGCGTTGGAATATGGAAAGTAGGCGGGTGTTTTAATTGTGTGCCAGCTAGAGTGTGTTAGAGCGTTTGATCTCGTGCTCCATTTCTAATTTTCATGTTTCCAACTTGTGGATATGTGATTCATGTCAAGCAATCAATTTCGGTTTTCGTTTGAATAGAAGTGTGAATCGGGTGTATAATTTGAATTTAGAATAAATCTTATCGGGTTATATCACATTCTCGAATCCAATCGAATTTTTTAAGGGTAGTAAAGGCAGGGACGGAGCTATGCATGTACGTGGTGCACGTGACTTAGCGGTAAAAAAAAAAGTTTAATTAAAAAAAAAACGCGTGAAACCAATTTTACCCGTTCAAACGTCACATCTGACTTGGCCAGCCGACACCGCTGCCGCACTAGCCACCACACGTCTGCACTAGCTACCAAGCCACCGTTTGGTCCGCTTCTGCAACATCGCGCCACACTGCCGATCATTTCCTTCTTTCTTGTTTGATTATTTTGAAATTTAGAGCTTTAATGACATATCACAAGTTTCATTGCGCTGAGTTTCTTTTATTTCACGAATTAATTCGATTTGGATGGTCGTATTTCTGGATTTTAGGGTTTATGTACTTATGGGATTTTTTTTTTTTTTTTTTGGATTGAATTTGTTATCTCTTGACATGTTTCTTGCCATCTTTTTAATTCTCTGGTTGATGTTATGTTTCCATGACGGGCTTATTCATGTGTTAGGATTTTCACTTGATTTCTTAGAAATATGGTTACTTGGGGTTATATTTAGATAAGGGGATATTGAAGAATCAAAGAATTGTGCAACTGTGTAGAATTTGTGATATCTAATTTGTTAGTCAATCCCTTTGGAGTTGCGATTTGAAAAAAAAAAAAAAAGGCGATTGGTTTGAGCTAAGCTAATGTGATAAAACTAGTTAGTGAATCTGTGAATTGTTTTCTTGCACCCTTAATCAATGAATGAACACTAGGACCCTTTGTGTTAAGGGTGTCTGATAGTTGGAAGAGTCTCTATGTGAGATATTATTGGTTTGAGAATAGGAAGGAGCGCAGCAAGGGCGTTCCATATTCTTGGATATATGTCGATATCATGAAAAAACTGTGCCTTCCTACTTGTACATGTTACTAGATGTTACCCTATGTTCTTTATATAGTTTTTTGTTAATTAAATTGAACTTTTTTTTGATGCTATTGAAATTTTTGAAATAATTGATTTGTTATTTGGCCGTTAATTTGTTGTGTTGTGTTAAATTGAATTTTATTTGGTAGTATTGGTACTTTGGTAGTCTTGGTTATTAGTTAGTTATTTGGTAGTCTTTGTTCAGGGTGACCCACATGCTCGGAAATCCTGAATCCGCCACAAGGTAAAGGATGCACTTATGTTTTTAGAAGGTAAAAATTTATGAGGGGATACAAGATGTTTTTGGAAGAAGAAAGATTTGTCACATTGTTTTAGTTTGTGCAAAGTACAATTTTTTTTTAAACAAAAACCAACCATCGATTATTTTCATAATGAGTCATAAGATATAACCGATGAAGATATTGAGTTTATTGACTCACATCCCTGACTTAAGGCAACTTTGATTACCATTTAACTACCATATTGTCAATATTACACAATTTTATAGTGCAAAACCAATTGACCTAATGCTCTAAGTTTTTTTTGTGTTTTTTTTTTGGAAGACCTAATGCTATAAGATTAATGATGTGCTAATCAATAAACTTCATTTAAGCTCAAAAAAACACCACTAAAACTCAAATTCCTCCAAAAATCACTTGGCCTAACATAATAATTACCGACCAAATTTATCATAATATTCATTTCGACATCAAATGCAAATGCACAATTTTATCATATTAAGCACATAGAAAACAAACTCAATGTGACCCGTTTTCGAATACAAAATCAACCCGAACAAGTTTTTTTACTTGAGCATAATTCGACCTGAACTACCTAATTCTCATCCTATAATTGATCATAATTCGACCCAAATGACCTAATTCATTCCCACCCTCGTAGTTGAACATAATTCGACCTGAACAACCTAATTTCTTCCCCGTAATTTAACATAATCAGACTCAAACGACCTAATTCCACCCTATAACTAAACATAATTAGACTCAAATGACCTGATTCACACCTCGTAATATGCACTTAAAACTTGTATCACTCCCCCGGAAAAGAAGGGGAAAGGGCCCCCAAAAGAAACCAAGCCAAGAAGGGGAAAAATGTGGAGTGTAAGCAGAAGCTCATTGACTACATTTCCCTCCTTCATATCCTCTCTCAACAAATTCACCTCCTTTTCATCAACTCCCAAGCTCCTTCGCATGGCTTCTTCCTCTTCCAACAACAATAACAACCCAGATAATGCTTCTGTTTCTCCCTCTTCTGCTATCGACTTTCTCACACTATGCCATCGTCTCAAGGTACAATTTCATCTTGCTTTAACTTTGAATTCTAGTAATTTTTTTTGGGGTTTTTTCTTATTTTGGGTGAATTTGTGGTTTTTATGGCAGACAACGAAAAGGGCAGGGTGGGTGAAGAGAGAGGTTCAAAACCCAGAATCAATTTCTGACCATATGTATCGTATGGGTTTAATGGCTCTCATTTCTGCTGATATTCCTGGTGTTAATCGTGATAAGTATGCTTTATTTTGGTTAGTTTTTTGATTGTTAGTATTATAAAAAATAGTGTTGGTATAAAATTTCTGAAATTATTTTGTGGGGTTTTTTAAAAGGTGTGTGAAGATGGCTATTGTCCATGATATGGCTGAAGGTATGAGGATTTTGATTTGATTTTACAATTCAAATGAGTTTGCTGAATTAGTATTTTTGTAGTTTTGGAATTGCTGACTTAAAAGACAACTTTTGTATGAGAGCTAAATAGATAAGCTTCTTATACTTATTTTGTAATTTAGAATTGGAGAATGTTTGTACAATTATGTAACACAAGAGTTGTGATGGAGGTTGATTAGAATTGGAATATAAGGTAGGAATAGAATCAAAAGAAGTAGGACTAAATTCATGAGATTGTGAATTGAGATTTTATAATTGTCCGAGCTTTCGAAGGCATATTGAAATGAGGTGAATTAACACCGGCATTACTAAATTGTTTGGTTAGCGTTATGCTGGTTAGTAAAATAGTAACTCAATCACTTAAAAGGTCTTTTGTGGTCTTGTGGACATATGAAATAAGAGATATCTGGCCATAGGTTATGCAACTGGCATTGGCATTGGCATTGGCATAAATAATTGAAAAAAGAAAAGAGAATTGTAAAACCTACTTGGGGCCATAAAAATATGTATTCCTTTTAAAGACAGATTCTTACTTTTAGACAGTGGGGATACTAGTGCAATGAAAACATTGCTGAAAAGTAGAGTGGGAAAAGAAGAGGGGGTATATTGTTTTTAGTTTCATATCGTTTAGCTTGGAAGTTTGGATATAATTCTGAAGCACCTTAAATATAGTGTTAGGGTTGTTGGTTGATAGGCAATGAGTGTTTTGTTAGCTTGTCGATTTTTGTTTTTTGAGACGCTTCTCACTGAGGTGAAGATACTCTGTGTACTTGTGCATCTCAACACCAGCTCTAAATTAGAGCTCTTAATTCAAGGTTTAAGGTTACAATCGAACTTGTACTGTCAAGACTGCCCTCTGAGTGAGCAATGTTAAGTTTCATCACTTTTTTATTTTTTTTTTCGTTATTAAGGGATGTACTATTGCCTAAATCATCATATTTTCCCAACAAAGGTCCCTTCCAAAGCAAGAGAATAACTCTAAGCTTTGATGGTACCAGTACTGGAATTTTCATGCGATATCTTGATGACTTTGATGAATAAAATGCTCAGACCTACCTGAACTCCGATTTCCACCTTATACTGCATCAAGTATAAGTACTTGGGCATATTTCATAAACCTTCAAAATTGCTAGTATATATAACTGACTCTGATATTCTAGTACACCTCTTTTAAACAATGTGTTCTTCCTTGGTTCCTGAATTCTGTGTCCTTTTTTAAAAAAAGAAAACCCATCAATGTCCTATTAATTAACTAGACATAAAACATGCTTCAGTTTACTCCTTTCGTATCATAGCTCTAAATTAATAGCACTAGAGGCTCCCATTTTTCAATCATGATTTCAAGAAAATGTCTTTCCTTATCTTCTTTTTATTATGCTTTATTTATTTATTTATTTTATTATCTTTATGTTTTTGACGAGAGGATCATGTGGCTTCTTAATGACATGACAAAGCTTATAGCATAATTGGCCCCTAAATTGGGAATAGCATCTGTTTTGAAATGGAAGGAGATATGCAAGGTGTTGTCTGGGTTTCTGTGATAAGTGGCCTTTCAGCTGCAAATATAAGTTCTATTCATTACCTTAAACTCTTAAAAGAGCTACAATTTCACCTCTTGGAGTAAAAGTTTCATGGTATAGGATAGACAAAGGTGTTATTTGTTTTGGTTATACTGCTTTATGTTTACCATGATAAATGATTATTAATTACAAAACTTTTATTGCTGTCCTTTAAACTCTATATGACTTCTTTTTGTTTCCCTTTAAGTTTGACACATTTCTCTTTGTTCACTCTCCCCTTGCAGCAATTGTAGGTGATATTACTCCTTGTGATGGGATTTCCAAGACAGAAAAGAGCCGTAGAGAAAGGGAAGCACTTGACCATATGTGCAATCTCCTTGGCGGAGGATCAAGAGGTTTTTTTTCTGTGCCTTACTCTCTAGCTGGCTCATTGTGTACTCTATTTCTTATGAAAGAGAGGGGAGGGAGGAAGGCTTTCAGTGGAAAAAAGGAAATTGAAAAAGACTTATCAACTCCTTCCATTTAGCCCCCTGGTGAATTTCTAAGTTGCCGTGTTTCTTGATTGTATTATGTTCTCTGAGTAATATTTATAAATTGCAGCCAAAGAGATACATGATTTATGGATGGAGTATGAAGAAAGCTCATCACTTGAAGCAAAAATTGTCAAGGACTTCGACAAAGTACGTTAACTTCTGCACTTTTTTCTAGTAATTTACATTATTCTATGTTCTTTAAGATCATAATTTATGTTGCAGTTTTCTTTTCTCAGCTATTGCATTGAACTCTTGAATATTCACTTTTTGGTAGTAGATGCATTATGCCATGGCTTCTGGTTGTACATACTAGACTTATATAATGTGAGTTCTAGCCAAATCTATAATCATATGATGCGCAAAGTGGCAAGTTTCAGACTTATTTATATGATGTAAGTAGGCTATAGTATCACTTTTTGCTTCAACTTACTCGCATCACCCCTAGACAATCATGGGAATATGTGAATGTTCCTTTTGCCTTCTTTGTAAATGTTATGGTTGAATTATTGCTTCATAATATATTGTCTTCAAGGATTGCATTATGTGAACATCATGCATCACAAAAATGTGTTGTTTTCAAGTTATGTGGTTATCAAATTTATCACAGCAGTGCAACCAAATTGTTGAGTTTGAACATTGGTAGATTGTGAAAGTGATCTGGATACTCCGTACTATAAATTGAATGTTATCTAGTAAAACCAAGTTCTCATATAAGGACTCGTTTGGTTGCAATGGGAATTGACTTCCCATAGTAATTTACAATTCATGGGAAATTATTTCCCTCCTCAAATTCCTAGGAAATTGCTTTAGTTTGTTTGGTTGGCATTAGGGAAATTACAAATTTACGATTCCTAGGAAATTTAAATTACCTAGGGGGAGGTGGGTAAATGAATTCCCGCATTATGTAGGAAATTGAAATTCCTAGGAATTTCTATTTCCTCCATTTTGCAATTTTTTGGTTAACCAAACAACATGTTAGTGTATTTCCTAGGAGTTTTGAGTGCCTACATAAAATTGGTGCAACCAAACGAGGCCTAAGATTGTCGCTTAGTGTCTTGTTGTCAATCTAATGTACTTTTTTTGTTTTTCCTTCAGGTTGAGATGATACTTCAGGCATTGGAGTATGAAAAAGGTAAGGCTGTCAACATAAGTGGTGATAACTATTGGAAAAGTCCTCTGTCGTTTAGCTAAAGTGAAATGGTGCTAAATAGTTTTTTCCCCTATCGTTTAAGGATGTTGGAATTTCTGACAGTTAATTTGATTCTTTACTCTTCTTTGAGATGCAATACGCGTTGAACTGCTTGAAGACTTATTAGCTAGTTGGAGACTGTTGTGTTGAGATGGAAATTAATGTTCAACTTCTTCTTTTTTGTACTTGCACAGAACAAGGGAAGGATTTGGAGGAGTTTTTTGAGTCCACTGCTGGTAGGAATTTCTAATTGATTTCAACCTTCCTGTTCATATTTACCAATGTAGCAATATTTTTGTTTATTTGAAATATGGACTTTCACACTACACTTATATGAGGGATATGTGGCCTACAGTATACATCTGTCCCATTGGAATACTGTACTGTATTGTGTATATAAGAAGAGAATTAATTTCCACCTTCACTGTGGGCAAAAACAATTTGCTTTGTTTAACATCAAAGCACTAGGATATACAGCGATATTTGCATTAGTAAGTTAGCAGCGTGTTTAGTATAGGGTATCAGTTAAGGTTATAAAACGATGCATGAATGCCCATAGTAATACATCTGCTCTAATGAATGATTCTTTTTTATTTATCTTTTATTGTTCTTATTTATTACGAGGTAGAGTATGTTAACTGAGAGAAACAAATATACAAACTCCTCACTTAAGTGAACTTATGTCTTTGTACCTAATGGGCTGTAAAGATTACTTCAATGAGATAACCTTCTTTAGATTATGCCAAACCCATTATGTAAGGCTTGCATCCACCCCCAAAGGTTGTCATATACACCCGGGTGCATGGTGCACCCAAGGTATTTTTTGGCTTATTTTGATGATTAAATTAAAGATAGTTATTGGCTTATTGCTCATTTAATCATCAAATAAACAAAAAATAACCTTGGTGCATCTTGCATCCAGGTGTGTTTAAATTTTTTTATCCCACCCTCCTCCCTCCCTCCAACCCTTAGTGTTTTTTATGTGGTGGTGGCAGACCAACATAGATCAAAAGCATGGTGAAAAAGTAGGAAATATGCATTTTTTTTTTCCTTAGACGCTCTATTGTATGAAGAATAAGGAGTTCGAATTTCCTCATTGACATTTGTACCCCACTCATTAATTCTCAGGAAGAGATCACAGGCTCTTGATTTTGCATTTTGTTAATTTTGGTTCGAGCCTTGGCTGTAATCTGCAGTTTGATTGTTGAAATGAACACCTGTTTTCAGGGAAATTCCAAACTGATGTCGGCAAAGCATGGGCATTGGAGATAGCGTCAAGAAGAACAAAACACTAGTAACTTACAGCAGCATCTTTTTACAGCCTGCTTGAAGCTTTGTAACACCTGAAGGTCTGACTCTCCCTGTCTGTTTAGATTGTATAGATCTTATGAGTCTGTTGGAATCTCAGGATGGTTTTTTTTCTATAAAGTAAAATATGGTTTGTCAACCAGTCTTACCGCTTTTGCTAGAACTAACTCATAGATAACTCCATCAACATCGGTTGGCTTCCAGTTGATTTTCGTCTTTCTGTATCGATAACGTTTTAGTGACTGAGAGAGTATCTTGTTATCGAAATGAAGCGAGTTATGTGCATACTCTAGTCATAGGAGTATCTTGTTCTTCCTGTTTCCTGATTTTGTGATCACTTTAGAATTCATTTTCAGAAGCGTTGCCAATAATCAAAATCTCTCTAAATGATAATCTACTCCTATTAGCAGTACTTTGTATAAAATAATCATAGAAGCCAAAATTAAAAGCGTAGTTATATCATACATTCATGTGAGTAAACTCGTTGACAAAAATAAAATGTTACACAAACTAGTACAAGATAAATTACAAAACAGCTAAAATTAGTCACGTAACCAACTAACAGCAACCGCCATCTCTAGTGAGTAGGACTGAGTACAAGTATAGTTGTACAAAGCAAGGTCACTAGCTAATGACTCTAAGAGGAAGAGTGATACGAAGGCGGGGGTCGATCGGGCTGTGTTCGATCCAGAGGTCCTTTAGGAGGCGAAAGTGTCGGATCCCAACCAAAATGAGGAGTACCATCATCACGATCCGAAGGCGGTGAGTCGTGCGGACTACTCACCAAATCTGGACCACCAGGGCTTAAACCTGGCCTTGGATCAGGTTTGATGGTCTCTTCTCTACTAGGATGTTGCTCCTTACTTCTTTCATTTGAACTTATAGTCCTAATAAAAATTTTAGGACTAGCATAGACAGAATCTATTGATGTTTTGGATGAGCATGGTAACAATAATTTCTTCATATGTAAGACTTTGGATGTTGTCATGATTTTGATTAGTTTTTTTAGTTGTTGCTAAATGCTAAGTATGAATGTGGTTTTTGTACACGTACGGTTGTACGTATGTGTGGGTTTACTTAGCCAGCGTAGGTCGACACGTGTTCATACGTTGGTACGTGGAATTGAATTAGGTTGTACACGTGGGTTACAGTGATAATACATTACATCAATACAAAAAGGGTGAGTTTGTTAAGGATATCTAATTTGGGGACATAATATAATAAGTGATATGATTAAAAATAGGGAAACCACCACCGAATGCTAATTTAAAAAATACATAGGGAATATTATTAGTACTTAACCAAAAAATGCAACATTATGCTAATATCAGCGGCTTGACATCGTCAAGACCGTTGGTAGAAGACAAGTTGAGCTTTGAATATTTGCCTATTTGGCATAATCATCTAATTGAATACTTAGTACACTGGATTTTTTTTTTTTTCTTTTTTTCCTTTTTTTTTTTCGGGAACAGAATTATACTCATAGGAGTATTTATTAATTTGAAGTCTTACGGCATGACATTCGCATAAAAATACAAATAAAATTGAATAAAAAACAATTTACTCTAGCATGTTTGATATAAGCTTCTACAAGTGGTCTATCGACTATCGATAACTGTCGAATTGAAGTAGAACTTAATCCAATTCGATTGATTGTAGACAAAGAAGTAACATACACAATACCACATAATTTACTATCAATGAATCAAGTTGTAATGAGAAAACGTAAGTCTTTAAACAATCACTTGGAGAGAGATCAAATCCAATACATGGACAGATCGATTTTACGTTCATATACGTATAAAATATAACACGCGTTTAAAAAAACTAGTACTCCATAATAAAAGTGAGAAAAAAGGTTATACATCATTGACCAAAAGGCTGGTGATTCGAGTTTATTTTCAACCATTACAAGATTCATGAAGATAATAAACCTTCAGCAATACCACCTAAAATTCCACCCAAAACCTCACCAAGTAATCCAAATCCACCTTCATCATCATCATCACTAGGAATTTTGCCAGACAAACACCCAACATGAATATGAACATCACAAATTTCACAAAAATACCTCCAATGTTTACATGATTTTTCACAAACATCACACTTACTAGAAAGCATTAGTTGAAGCTTCAAAGAATGAGGAGGATGTTTGTCATGTTTGACCAAATATTCAGGCAATTGACTACAAACAGGATGCACAAAAAAACTGCATTTCTTACACCTATAAACCATACCTTTGATGTAATTTTGACAAAGGTTACATTTATGGAAAGGTAAGTTTGGTTTCTCCATTAGTTGTAGTGTGTGTTTTGGATGTGTGAACGAAGAGATCGAAATCAGGCAAGTCCCGCACGTCAAATGAGTATCGAAATTGCATTGATCGCATCGATATCTCATGCCTCGACTCTCAGTTTTGCAGCATTTGCACTCGAATTTTGAGTTTTTGTAGACTTCCTTTAATGGATGTTTTGTGTGTTTGCTGTATTGGATCCACTTTGCAGCTTGCTCTGGTTGATGCATAGTTGCTTATGTGGTAGTACCAATCATCATTGGTCATATAGGACGTATATACTCCATTTTTTTTTTTTAATTTTTTTTTAAGCTAGAGATCGATGAGATTGTACGGAGTTTTAAGAGATTTAATAAAATAAGATGTTATTAGGGGTCATTGGAGGAGTGAGAAATGATAGAGTGAAAAAGGATGAGGACATTAATGGGTAAAGATATCTTATTATATTAGATGAACCCCGTGCAATGCACGATTTGTTTGTATTTTTTCAAATAAAATATTTTACTAATATATATTTATCAAATAAACATTGTGATAGTCACTTGCTTACTACTTGAATTTTTTATTATAAAATGAATTATTAACTTTGTTTCTCATATTTAGATAAAATTTGTAATATAAAAAGATACTATTTTATTTCACAAAGTTTCATATGTGGCTGGTCACACCGTGTGTCGGGGTTACTTGGTCAAGTGTTACTTGGTTGATCAATGGTTACTCAATCGATCAGGGGTTACTCGAACGGTCAGGGGTTACTCGGCCAGTGTTTGGGTGTGTATCAGTCGGCCACATGATATGACCAGCCACGCAAAAAACGCACTGATTTTATTTTTATAATTAATATAAAAATTTTGATCTAAAATAAATTGCATTTTTTTTTTTTCATTGGCTAAAATATAACATTTTCCTATGTGACGCTCTAAAATTAATCTTACGTGGCATAATCCTATTATAGCGTTTTAAAATTATTAATCCTATGTGGCGATTTTTTATTATAATCCTACGTAGCGCTTTTAAAAAAACTAATCTTACATGGTAAAATCCTATTGCAGCGTTTTAAAAATGTTAATCCTTAGTGGTGCTCTAATAATTTTTTAAAAATTATATTCCTACGTGGCGCTCTAAAAACTCGGGGAAGAACTCCCCAATATATATATATATATATATGCTAGTTTTGTGTCCGGGCGATGCCCAGAAGCTTGATAAAATTTTAAGATTACATTTTTATTTGAATGTTAAATAAAGTTAAATAATTCGTTCTGATAATGTAGGATATTTAGATATACGATATCGTATAGAGTGTACTTGTTTGTACCCGGCCCAGATGGTTGATAAAATTTTAAGATAATATTTTTACTTGAATGTTAAATCGGTCAAATAATTCGTTCTGATAATGTAGGATATTTAGACATACGATATCATATGGCTTATATTTATATAATAGTGTATTTTTTGTTGTTTTGTTTGTAAATAGATGTACATGTTATTATTGACTTGAAATTATTTTTATTGAACTTAAATTATTTTCACTAAAATGAAAGTATTTTCACCAAACTGAAATTAATTTTACTGATTAAAACTTATTTTTACTGATTCTCTAATATTTTTTAAAAATAAATTAAATAACAATGCATTTTGTATTCGGCTAGCCACACCATCTGGCCGGACAAAGTAACCCCTATAAAACTGAGTAACCTCTAACAATGACTAGGTAATCCCTGTCTATATCACTGATTGAGTAACCACTATAACACTGACTAAGTAACCCCGATAGCATTAACGAAATAACTTTTGTAATGGTTGGTGACATGGTTTGGCTAGCTACGTATAAAAGTTTGTGATTAAATATATTATAAATGGATCTTATTTTAAATAACTTTTTAAATGATTGAAATAGCTTTGAGTTATAGGATATTTATTAAAATTTATAATTAATTTTGTATATATTAAATATTAGAATTCTATCGATAATAAAACTCTATACAACAATCTTATCTTAAAAAATCTATCCAAAAATCGTTTAGTTAGCATCATATGTGTCACGACAATACATATTTATCTCCTACGTGGCACGACACTTGGCGAAAAACTAGAATGCCAAGTGTCGTTGTCTCGTGGCTTGGTTGCGAGATCGACTTTATTTATTAGTGATGTGATATGATATTAGATTGTAATAGATTTTCAAAATAGAATTCTAGCTTATAAAAAAAAAGGACGAAAATAGTACCTCTAGCTTATAAAATAAAAAAAATAAAATAAAACGGAGGGAGTATACTGCAATTATACGTGACTATGCATGTAATCGCAATGTATTTCTTTTACAAATTGTAAAATAATTTCAAAATTACATTATTTGACCAATGACTTTCTCCACCTCTCCTCCTTATTAATGTAGTTAGTTTTTTTTTTTTTTTTTTTTTTAATCTATTATTGTGTCTTTCATCTCTTTAAAATGTGGGTTATCTGATGTCAGTCCCAAACCTGGATTAAAAAAAGAAGAGTTGTGATAGGTCAGTAACAATTAGTGTAAAATTTTGTCACATCGCGGACATGAGCCACAATAATTGAAAGTAGTATCAGGATGTGATCTCCTCAGAAATCCTCATGTTGATTCAGTAGCCAACCTTATATATGGGATCAAGACGTTCAAGCAGAAGAATATGTGGTAGAAGATCAGTCAACTAACAAAGTATAAGTCAATTTTTTTTTTTTTTTTGTTTGTTTGTTGGCAAAAAGTATAAGGAGTCAATTTAATGTTGTCAATTTGCGTCTAATTCGCGTTTGCCGACCTTTTGTACAAGTAGTACAAGTGGGTTGCAATTAAGAATTTGTTAGCCAGAAAACAAAAGAAAAAAAGTACCATTTGTCCAATTTCTATGGATGTGTATTGTGGTTTTCTTCATAGTTTCATTTGATTAATCAACTTCTGTGGAAGGATTATAGACGACGATTAATGATAGTTGTATGGATTACAACAGCCGCCTTATCTTTTCTCTCTTCTGTCCTTGCAAACTCATACTTTTCTTCGTTGTAATCTGGTTAAATTTAATCTCAAGGTCTCAATAATTCATTGTATTTTCTCATTCACAATATTCAACCACATTACAATATATATAGGGATAGAAATATAAAATCTAATATTCCTAGATAACTCAACTTTCTAAATAATACGGTGTATATCACAATATATAATACTAGATGAAATCCGTGTAATGCACAATTTATTTGTATTTTTTTAAAATAATTTTTTTTTTGTATTTATAAATTGTGCTGTGAATTTCCATTCATTCGTTATACATTTATATAAAATTTCTAATTTCAAAAGATAATATATTATATTTAATTAATTTAAACTTTAAAATCTCATTCGTCAATTTTGCTTATGTAGCATTTGAATTATTTAATTCTAAAAGAATTGCAAATCTCTTATTTGATTGACTATCACTAAAATTTATAATCTTACATGGCGCGTTAAGAAATTTAATCCTATGTGGCTCTCTAAAAAATCGGGAAGAAACTCCCCTTTATATATATACTAGTTTTGTGTCCGGGCGATACCGGTTGATAAAAGTTTAGGATAAACTTTTTGAATTGAATGTTAAATACGATCATATAATTCCTTTTGATAATGAAGGATATTTGGACATACTGAACTGAAATTATATTTACTGAACTAAAAGTATTTTTGCCAAAACAAAAATTATTTTCATGATTAAAACTTATTTTCACTAATTTGTAAATAAATTAAATATATTATAAATGGATCTTATTGTAAAAACTTTTTAAAACGAATTTTATGATGGAAATAGTACCGAATTATAAGAGATTTATTAAAAGTTATGATTAATTTTGTATATATGAAATATTAGAAGTATATCGATAATAAAACTCTATACAACATTTTTATCTTTAAAAATCTATCCAAACTTCTCTTACTTAGAATCATATGTGTCACAATAATACCTATTTGTCGCCTATGTGGCGTGACACTTGGCGAAAAACTGGAATGCCAAGTGTTGCTGCCACGTGGCCTGACTACGAGACCGACTTTATTTATTAGTGATATGATATGATATGATATTAGATTATTATATTTCCCGAAATATATCCCAATACCTCCCTCAAGTTGGAGCATATAAATCTCTAATGCCCAACTTGTGAAGAAGGAACTCAAACTTAGCTTTCCCCAAGACTTAGTTAATATGTCACCCAATTGCACCGTTGTTGATACATACGAAGGTTTAATAATACCGTCTGACGTCAATAATGACATATCTCATAAAATGACAATCTGCTTCAATAAATTTGTTCGTTCATGGAACAAAGAATTTTAAACAATATACTCTCTCCGTTTTTAAATACTTGCTCCACTTTTCTTTTCCAGCCGTTTTTAAATACTTGCTTCATTTCTTTATTTGGAAATCTTTTACAATTTTTAATTAATTTCTCTCACCCAGTGGACCAACATAAATCATATTTTATTAATTTCATATTCTCTCTCCTCCAATTCTCTTAACTACTTTTGGTTTTTATAATTTTTTATTATCCCCCCTATCCTAAAACTCTGCACACAGAGAAATGGAGCAAGTATTTAAAAACAGAAGGAGTATAAAGCAGACAGACAATCACAATAAAGGCGCATCCTATATATTTTCACGGTGTACACCTAAGTCTCCAAGAAGTTGCTTCAAGAATAAGCCCGCTTTTATTTTTGACCAAATGATAGTACTCCCTCCGTCCCTTATATTTTTCCCCATTGCAAAAATATGGATCAAACTTTTAAAACTTTGACCATGAATTCTTGTTGATCTATAAGTGATAATATATTCATGTGGGATCTGGTTAGAATTGTCTTATTGTATAGTTTATTAATATCAAATTTTTATAATTTTTACACGGATAGAAATGGAGATATATGCGTTTGAAGACGTGTCTTGGAGACCGTGAAAAGTCAAATGGGACAAAAAATAAGGGATAGAGGGAGTACATGATAATACACAAGATATATACTCTTTATTGTATAATTTACTAGCTTAAATCCCGTGCAACACACAATTTTACCAAATATAATAAAGATTTATAATACTCCCTCCATCTCTTTATTAAAGATTTATTTGGGTTTTTTCACGGAAATTAAGAAAGTTGGTAGAAGTACATAATTGCATGTGGGGTTAGAGAGAGATAGAGAAAAAAAAAGTGTTGGAATTAATTGAAAAGAGGGGGAGACAAAGTGTTGGAAATTAATGTAAAAAAGTGGTTGGAAAAACAAAAAAGTGATGGCAACTCATAAAAAAGTGGAGAATATTCTCAAATTGTACAACCTTAAAATATAAATAGGTCTTTAATTTTGATTTTCCAAAAAAAGAATACAGATCCTTAATAAAAGGACGGAGGGAGTAATATGTAGTTTAAATTTTTTTTTTAATAAATTTTTTTATCTTTAGAAAATACCCCTCTATTTTTTTAAATGCATCATTTTAACTTTTTCACTATTCACATGTCACGTTTGATTTAATTTTTTTGCTATTATAAAATAAATAAATGTTGTTATATGATATATCGATCGTTAGATTCGTCACAATGTCTACTTTCACAGTATAATTTTGTTACAATTTTTACTAATACACAATTAAAGATATTAATAGTCAAAGTTACGACTTGACAAATGTGCCGGTCAAACTGATGCATTTAAAAAATAAAAATAGAGGAAGTATACAATAAAGGTATTAATATTCTATACATTATTTCAATAGAAATTTTAAGTTGTACCCATACGTCTTATGTATATATTTTAATTTTAAATTTTAAATTATGATTTTGTTTATAATAATAATGTATGGTTAATTATCTCTAAGTAATAGTTTTATTGAATTTGGGAGTGAAAGATTGCATTACATTCAAATTATTTTTTCTTGATATAATATCAATCTTATTAAATAATATCTTATACAATAAAAGATATGGAAAATAAGTGAATATTTTTTTAGAAAGTGAATCATAATTATATGATTTAGTGAATATTTTTTTTAAGAAAGTGAATCACAATTATATAGAGAAGTGAATATTTTTTGGAAGGAAGTGAATTAAAAAAAAAAGTTTAGGTGGGAAATAAACAGCACCAAGAAGTGACATGTGTCATTCTTGATGTCTGTTTTAGTATTATGTTATTGATTAATACACAATTGAGATTATTAGTTATTTGAAAAGTTTATATAGATCTTTGTATCATTCATTGTGTTTCTGGAAACAAAATTCTCCTCGGTGTGCTACAGTATGTCGGATATGCAAGATATCCAATGTCCAAATGTGCTTGAACTCCACCGCCTTGCAAAAGAGCTACGCTTGCACGAAAGAGAGGGTATTTGTCTCGGGGTTTGACCTGGGAACGCCCCTCCGACGCCACGTCAGTGAATGTACTTTTTAGAGAGAGAAAATAAAGAGAGAACGAGATAAGATATTAGAAAAAGTTACCTATCATTAATCATTGACTGCTATTTATGGATGTACCCAGGTGTCAAAGCTATACTTTCTTGGATAGCTTAGAGGTAAATATGTACTTTATAGTGATTAATGGATAATTAAGGATGATATGCTGGATTATGGAGGTTTATTTTCATCATTTCAACCATATTGAGCTTAGGACATGGACTAGGCCCAAACACATTGTAATAGTTTAAACTATTTTAGATAGGTTTTGTAGAATTTGTGAAATGAAATATTATTTGTGGTTAAAATTTAAAAATACTATTTTTTATGAGTCGTTTAAATCAAGTTACAACCCCATATCATTTTATTTTATTTATTTAATTTTTTTTTCTCCCCTCTTATGAAACTCATACTGAAACCATACCATCTAGCAAACCAAACGCCTAAGTGGTGTGTGTTAGTGTGTAGCTTGACCACGTTTAAGTCCAATGAAGCTAAATGCATGGCAGCATGGGGGACTAATGACATTTATTATAGCTGCCGCTTTCCTTGTTTTTTCGTTTCGTTAGCTCAGTCAGCTATAGTGATTTTGTTTTCTACTCTTTAGTTCTACTTCCACCCTCTTTCCTAAATGGCCAAATGGGGTTATTTTATGAAAATTATATGTCAGAGCCATTTTCGAGATTTTAGAGGCCTAGAGCGAAAAATATATTGGGCTCAATTAACATATTTGAATGAGAGAAATTTTTTGGAAAAAATTCTCTCTGATAACATCGAATTTTTTATATTTTTTTTGGTGAATTGCAAAAAAAAACTATTCTCTTTGGTAACATTGTATTTGTAGGGAATTTTTTAAACTCATCTTTGAGCCCCACTGTGATCATGTTTTTAAGCATGTGGCGTCCAAAAGGAATGAAACTATAGATAAAAGAATCGCCAACAAGTTTTAGGAACTTGTAAACCGTTCACGGGTGTGAAGGTTACACCCAATTCACGATCACGGAGATCTCTATAGTGGTCCAGAACCATGACAGAATATTCAGAGATGATGGTACGAATCCAACCTAAAAAAGATTGAACTCGCCTTAAATCGGTCGCTACTTAATTCTTATGATATTCATGTGCGCTTTTCGATCAACATACATTCAATAAATTAATCCTAAGCATATTTAATCTACGTTGGTTGATTATCAATGCACAAATAAATCTATTATTGGTGATCACTTGAATTAAAATCATATTAGCCTAAATTAAATTATTAATTATCTTATTAGCGTGATTTCAAGTACAAATTCCCATCCTGCAAGAAAGGGCGTGATCAAGCAATAACAATAAATCATAAATAATCAAGCAATATATAATAATTGACACAACAATCATCTTCATAATAATACCATCAAGACATAATTAGCAAGATCCTAGGCATGTTACTAAACGGATTAATAGCAAATCCTAACATGTCACTAATAAATCATAATCAAAGCATTATCCTAAACATGATACTAGAAATTAAAATAACATCCTAACATGATACCAGCACTAGTAGAAAAACATAAATGTGCACCGAAGAATGAGTAACGATTCTTGGAAACCGGTGGCCCAAAATACAAATAGCATCGGTTAACCGATGCCCCTTGGATTTTATTTTCTACACTTCTGATACAAAGAGCACCAGTAACCGGTGCCCCTTTATTTTTAATTTCTAAAACACACATTCTTTCCCAATTTAGTAACCACGCACTCACTCAGTCATTCTCCTTTCTCTCTCCTCTCATTCCCACTTTCTTTCTCCTTTCTCTCCTCTATCACTCCACCGCCACTCCTTAGCTTCCCCACCACCACTCCTTAGCTTCCACCACCCCCCTTTCACCGCCAGCCCACTTTATCTCTCCATTTCTTCTCTCTGTCAGCTCTCGTTCTCCTTCTCCTTCAAAAATCGGCGTCAATTCAAACCAAATACAACCATCGTCGTCGCCGCCGCCTATTTCTTAAATCAACAATAATGGAGGTTAGGGTTTGTGGGTGCTTTTATTTCGAATCAGTTGGATGTTCGTGCTTCTTCAACAACAACAAATACAAATCAATTTCGAACAAAAAATCAGAAATTTGAGGTTAGGGTTTCTAATTTATTTAGCGTTGCGTTATATTTTTGTCGAATTACTTCTAAAATTGCTGATTATATTCGAGAATTGTTTTTCAATTCCCTAATTCAAGTTATTTAGGGTTTGATTTCAATTAATTTTTCAATTTTTGGTGGTTATTTTTTTTTAGGATTAATACAGTTTTTAAATCCCAACTTTGCCCAATTTATTTTAAATAATCCCTACTTTCGATTATTCTGCAATAATCCCAACTTTAGGGTGCCTTTTCTTTCTTCGGTCCGGATTACCGGTTACTTGAAAAAAGGGTTAAAAAAATTTTAAACCATTTATTTGACACGTGTTGCAAGATAATTGGTTCACCAAAATAAAATAAATTAATTAAAATAAAATAAAATAAAGAAAAAAAACCCAAAGACCCATTTTCTCTCTCCTCCCCATTGTTGTTCATCCATGGCTATTAGCTGCCATGGCAACCACCACCATTTTACCCTAGCTAGCCACCATCCATCCTCACCAAAACCATCTAGCCACCGCCCACCATCACCAAAACTAGAATCTCCCACCTTCGTCCCCTCAGTTAGCTGCCCCCCATCAACCTACCTCCCCTCACCAACACCCCACCGCAGCACCCCTCCCTTTCCTGATCGCCCTTCCCCTTACCTTTCCGACCACCCCCTTCACCCTTTTCCGACCAACCCTCCCCTTCCCTTCTCCCATATCCACCTAAAACCGGCAACCCTGAAATCTCAAAACTCTAACCACCCTTGAAACCCCGAAACCACCACCCCCTAAATCCGACCATCATTTGCGACCCACACAACAAAGCCACCCCTCAACCAACCACCACCAATAACCCACAATTGGCCACCCAGCCTCCCCCTCAACCCCCACCAACAATGACGACCCACAATCAGCCACCCCTCAACTTAACATCGTTTGCGTTTTCCGGCAATTGGAGGAGAAAGAAAGTGAGGGGGCTGCATTTTTGGTGGTTTTGGTGGTTGGAGAAGTGATTTCGAAGGTCAGGGTTGTTGTTACAGGTGGTATCGGGGGTTACGGGTGGCGGTTTCAAGGTCGTGGGCTTTGGTTATGGTGGTTTTAGGTTTTATGGATGGCGGTTTCAAGGCAATGGTTTTGGCTATGGCTAGTTCAGGGGATGTGGGAAGGCAGAGTGGGTCGATTTCTCGGGGGTAGGGCGAACCTGGGGAGGTTTTGGGGGCTGGGGCTACGGAGATGGTGGTTTTGGGTGAGTGGCCACTGCCAGCGGTTGTGGGCTGGTGGTGGCTTGGTTGGGTTTGTTTTTTTTGTTTTATTGAATTTTTCTTTATTTTTTTTAATATTTTTTTTAATTTTTTGAACCAATTACAACTTGACACGTGTCAAGTGACCTAAAATAAGAGGTTATTGACTTTCGTTGATCGGTTTGGGATTGAAGAAAGAAAAGGCACCCTAAAGTTGGGATTACTGCAGAATAATCGAAAGTTGGGATTATTTAAAATAAATTGGGCAAAGTTGGGATTAAAAAGCTATATTAATTCTTTTTTTTATTGTATTTTTGATTCTCGTATTCAACATGCAGTTGAATTTGGGATGTCCATGGAGCTAACTTTGTCAAAGTTGACCAGGAGACTTTTCGATCTCATCCTTCTATCCCCTTTTCTCTTTACTCTCAATTTAATTGTTTAATTTCTGGATTAGCTGTTTTTTTTCATTATTTATTGATTGGATGAAATAGTTGTTTTTTTTGGGGGGTTTTAACTTAAATTTTAATATGCTTAGGGTTGATGTTATGGAAGACTTGAAAGTGTTGTGTTCTGAAGAATTTCTGATTTGGATATTGAAATTTGACTGTGGTGGATATTGGATTATGAGCCAGCAATTTCAGTCTAGTGATTTGCCTAATTCTTGTATTCAACCTGATCGTCATTGGTTTGGTACGTTTTTTCTTAAGAAATTTCTGTTATTTTTGATGCAAATTTGATATAATTTCAATAATTATTGAATTATTAAGTTTGGGGATTTGGAAGAATTGAACCGAAGTATATGATTAAACGTGAAATTTGTCAAATTGCATAGATGATGATTGAATTGGTTGATATAGTAGTTTTGGGGTTTAAAATCAGATTACACAACTCAGTTTTATTGCGATTGATCTAGGGTATTGTTAATTGGATTGATCTAGGATTTTGTTGATTTGAGCTTTTGGAATTGTGGATATACGGAATATTTGAATCATGGGTACACGGAGTATATGATTTGTGAGTATACAGAGTATTTGATACTTGAATCTTGAATTTCAGTAGTTTGATTTGTGGACGTATTATGAATATTGTATTGGTTGTCATTTAATTTGATTTTTTAGGTATATATTTTTTTTGGGTATATTTTGATTGATTTCTTGATGGTGGTATGGGTATATTTTGATCAGTTTTGGGTCTCTTTTGATTGAATATGCAAATTAAATCTCATTTGGTAGTGGATAATGGTAGATTATTTCATTATATTTTGTTTCTAGTTTGTCTTCTTATATTGCCTTATTGTACCATAATTGTTGAGTTTCTTGACAAGTATAGCTCAGGAATTAAAATTGGGTTTTGGATTGATTTTCTGAGTTGTGTTTTTGCGTTTATCAAATGACTTGAAGCTTGAACCTGTTGCCTTGCTTTCTTGCAGTGCACCCCTGCTGCTGTTACTTTTGCTCTACTATAGCTGCTGCTTTTTCTCTGCCGAGATTGGGGGCAGGTGTGGCTTTAAGCCTATGTTTTTATATTAATTTATACTTGTTACCTGCAACTATGGGTTTAATATCTTCTGGAAATGATGATTTTGTTTGGGAGTATTCTTGCTGAAGCCATTGACAAGATTGGGGCTGATGGTGTCATCTCTATTGAGTCGTTCTCAACCTCTGAAACTTACATTATTGTTGAAAAGGGAATGAAGGTCTGTGTTGCTTTTGTATTTTACTTCCATAAATAAAAAATGTTCAGTGCACTAGTTTCATTAGAGGAGTGATAAACTGATAGCTGGCTGTTTGTACTCTGTATCTCTCTCTCGTTTTGAAGGATATAGTTGCATACATTGAGTTATCCTTAAACCTGGTTTGATGGGAAATCAATCAAATAATTATTTCTTTTGAGCTAATAATATGGATCATGCACAAATTTAATTTTTTTTCTGGTTCATTGGAATGTAACTTTTATCATGTACTTGATCCTTTGTTTTTTTTTTTTTTTTTTTTTTTCCGGTTATGAAATTATATGAACTTATTAGAGTATATTTTTATTCTCAGGGAACTGTACAGTAACAATATCAGGGGGGCCAATACCTAGTGAGCTGCGCAATCTAACAAATTTGGTCAGTTTGCAATTGGATCTCTATTTGAACAGTTTCAACGGTCCAATTCCGCCATTCCGGAGTCTTTGGCAGGCTATCGAAGTTGTGCTTTCTGTATGTATACTAATCCCTTGCCTGACTAATGCTATCCAAGGACTATACCTTATTTGCCTTTAACATTTGCATTGAAATGTATGTGTGTTGAATATGTATGCATGGCCTTATGTGGTCCCATGCTATCTTTTGGGCTTTCTGCTAGTTGTTAATTCCTGAATGCAAGTTGATATGGCTTTCACGGCTGCTCTTGAATAATTGATTATTCCTAGCTATGGAATATTGACTGAGTGTAGAAAAAGGGGTTCTCTTAATGTTGTCAATGACTTCTTAATATGTTTTGAGTGTGTGTATTGAGAGGGTATTTTGCTGTTTGTTTGTTTATGTTGTTGTTGTTGTTGTAGACTCTATAGAATGATTTCATCTGCGATTTTTATTTGATAATTGTTTTTATTTCGTGATTTGGGTTTATTCTTTTGATTTGGGTTTGTGTTATTTTTGTTGTTGATTTATTTATTGTTATGAAAAGATTGGTTAGTAATGTGTGATTTTTTGTAAAATTTGACAGGTTACATATGGATCTGTAATCAAATTGGTGCATGAAATAACAAAATTCAGGCTGCATTCTGGTTGCTCTATTCCCTAATATGGATGCTGCATTCTCTTTAGTGTTGCTGCTTCGGTACTGCTACTGTTTAGCTACTGTGATGCTATTGTTCTGCTACTGGGCTGCTGCTATATATATATTTTTTTCTTTTTTTCTTTCAAGTGTAAAATTACAGGTTATTAATGAAAATTATCAGAAGTATATTATGTATATCTATAACAATCTGGTGATAAATTCAGATGAAAAAAGCAATTTTTTTTTGTTTGGGCATTTTTGGCACCGATTAACCGGTGCCAAAAGTAATGAATTATATATTTTTTTAAAAGTGGGTACCTATTATTAGCACCGCTTAACCGATGTCAATAACAAGTATTCCCACCGGTTCAAAACCGGTGCGAATGTTGTACATTTTTCGCATCCCTCAATTTTAGACCGGTTCAAAACCGGGGCACATTAGTGTTTTTCTACTAGTGTAGGAATTACGATCAACATCCTAACATGATACTAGAAATCATAACAACATCCTAACATGATACTAGGAATTAAAAAGATTCTAAACATGATTTCTATATCAAAAAGAATAATTAAGTAATCGAATTACTTACTTTGATGCCTCATACCTCTTTTTATCAAAACAATACACACGGTAGTAAACTTCAAGAAGGATTAAATCAAACAAATAAATCAAATATGAATTGAAATTTGGATCTGGGACCAAACCCTTAGAACTATCAACCTTTCACGTCAAGGTCAAAGGCAACTACGAGTTTGGCTAGGAGCTGAGCATTCAAGGCTCGTGAAGGAGGTATGGTGTATGCTTTGGAAAAGTACCAAAGGATGTATGTTTAGGAACGTGTTTAGGCTAAGGCTAGATTAAGGCTAGGCTAGAAATCAACAAAAGAGAGAGAGAATAAGCTTTAGCTTAGAGAAGGTAAGAGATGATGATTGTTGGTGAATCAAAACAGGGTGATACAACCTCTATTTATAAGGAAAAATGAGGGTCGAATATCAGAAAAAAAGTCAGAATTCGAAACGGAATAAAACAAAGTCCATCGCAGCGCAACAGGCTTATCGCGACGCGATTGTACTGTCGCTTAGAGATGGGTTTGGCAGATTGAATCCATACATAATCCGTCTTCCAATCAAGTTAGGTTAATCGAATTTCCGTACGTATTCTAACTTTATCAGAATTAAAATCATTGAAAAACAAGAGTTTTATCCGATGTAAAATCCTTAAGTCTTTATCTTTAGGAATACAGGATAAATTAGAACCTTCTAGAAGATTTTAGAAGCTAATAATAAATCTTAAGGGATTTCGGATCGAAAACAACTTTTTAGAAGATTCTAGAAGCTAATAATAAATCTTAAGGGATTTCGGATCGAAAACAACTTTCTAGAAGATTGTAGAAGCTTGTAATAAATCTTAATTGGTTTAGGAATGAGGTTCATATTCCACACGGTCACACATAATATAGAGCTGTCAAGCCTATAGAACGCTTTTGTTTGACGGGTTATTACCTCAAATCTCACCCCTCCATTTCCATCCCTTGAGATCCCACGATCTCAATCTCCTCCCACAAAGTGAAACTCAAACTCAAACTCCTACAAACGAAATAGATCAACTGGTAGTCTCTCCAATAAATCGAATTTCACCTATTTCAATTCTTTTTTAAGCTTGAACCACAATTTCTCCAAATGATAATAAATATTCTGAAATTTTATCTTGAAATTATCGATTTGCTAATATTGTTGAAATTAGGGAAAATTTCTGTTAATTGTTTTTTTCTTATTTTCGATCATTTTTTTTATATTTAATCAATAGATGTTTCATTTGTTTTAATCAATTTAATTTTAGGAAAATTGCAATTGGATATTAGTTCGGTTTTGGCCTTGGTTCAATTTCTGAGTTTTTGGTGAAAATAATTAGGTTTTTGCATACTTCTTTTTCGAATAAAATTAAATCAATTTTTATTAATTTATTGTTTATTCTTGCAAATTAATGAATATGTTCATGAAGATCCAAAACCGATTTTCTTTGCAATCTCTAATTTCTTGATGTTGGGCAACTAAATGTTATAAAATCCAAGTTAAAATAAATATTGTTTTAGTTTATTCATACATAGCAGAGTTCTTTTTAATTTTGATTATGTTACGAGTAGTTATACTTTTTTGATCCTAAATTTTCTCTATATTTTGTTTTCCTTTTGATGCAGATTTATCAATGGAAGCAAGAATAGCTGATAATTAATTTCCTTTGCACTTTTTTTTCCTTTGTATTTTTTGATCTTATTTTTCTTCATTATACGGAGAAGTTCAATTATTTTTTTACGGAGTAATACTGTATTTTTTTTGAAGAGGATTAGAGTTGTATTATACAAAGTACAATACGGAGTATGAGTTATAAATCTAGAATACGTATCATTTTGTAGCCTACTTTTACGGAATTGAAAATTTTAATACGGCTAGGAAAATCATTTAAATATTTTCTAATTTTTTTTTTTGAAAAAAGCGACAAAATACAGGACTGTTATCAGACATAGGCGTTCTCTTTTCACATAATTATAGAACTCCTAACATAAGATAGGCATTCTCTTTCTCTTGTATTTTTATTGTTTTGTTCATAGAATTGGAAGCGCCTATCTTGGTGAGGCGCTATGTATTGTATTGAATATAGAACGCCTCAAATAGGCGTATTATATACTTTATAAGGCACCCCATTTGAAAAACGCCTCTAAGGCGTTTTATATTGTCTATTTCAGACGTTTTCTATTGTCTTTTTTTTGTAGTACTGGTACATAAAGCTCGATTTGGGCTCAGTTTAGTATTCTGGCCATTACTTCTTCGTTATAACTCGGATTTGGGCTTATAATATATCATTGGAAATCTCTTTTCAACCCCATCCAACTACACAATTATTGGACCCAGATTATGGACCAAAATAGACTGGTTTGGACGTTTTATGAAGATGACATGAAATGAACGATTTTCAAAGACACGAAATGAATGATTTTGAATAAAAACATTTTAGGAAAGGTTAAAATTGGTCAAGGCTAAAGGGAAATTCACGAGACTCTTCAATACTTCACCCAATTCGATAATCAAAGACGTAAAAGATACTCATCACTGGGTTTGGCTTTTGAGGAGACACAACCAGGTGTCTACAATATGATTGATTACCAAAGATAATAACTATTTTAATTAAAATCTCAACATAGTTAGTTTTTTTTTATTTCTTTAATAATTAAATTATTTTAAAAATAATAAAAAATAAAAAAATAAACCCACCACCCTCCCCCCCAACCGGTCTGAATTCCCAGCCCCTTCCCCTCCACTTGCGCTACCCCCTTTCCCTGCCGGCACCCAAACCCCTCCTTCGATGCCGACACCCAACGGCGACCAGCCCTTCCTGTCCTCTCCCACCCGAAACCCAGCTTCTTATTTTTAATTTTTCATCGCAACATTATCTCCCAAATAAGCGAAAACTCTGGCTGCGGTAACGAAATTATGGACTGCCTGTTTCCTTTCCTCAACTGTAGACAGCAGACCGATCAATAGACAAACAACTCAATCTGATTATACAAAACACCCAAATTAAACAACACAGTCGCCTTCTAGAGGTGCAGATTAATCTTCCATAACTACTTGTTCTTGGTCTTAAAAGCATCAAACCATGTAAATTGAAGAGAATTGATGTGAACTTTATCAGGCAAAATAGGAAACCTAGATTAGGGTTTCGAGGGTGGGGGGAGGGCTGGCTAGGGTTTTCGACGATGGGGGATGTGTGGCTGGGAGTTTCAAGGCTAAGGGGAAGGGGTTTCGGGGCTGAGGGAGCTGGGTTAAGTGGAAGGGGGTCGGGTGGTGATTTAGGGGAAGAGGGAAAGATGCAACAGTGGTATGGGAGGCTGGTGCACCGGCGAGGGAAGGGGCTAGGAGCCGGCGTGGGTGGGGGCGGGGGAAAGGTGGCTGGCTGGTAGGGAGAAGAGGTGAGTTTTATATTTTTAAAAAAAAATATTTCTAAAATCAATGTAAAGAATAAGAAAACCTAACTATAGTTAAATAGCTAGTTAAAATTCATCATTAATGTTGATTAGGGGATTTTGCTCCCACCAATCGGAATGCGCCAAGTGGACCAATCAGGTCCTGCCAAGTGTCTCCTAGTTGGAACTGTCAGGACTTGCCACGTGGCACGCGCTTATTCGTCCACCTTGGACCTGTTATGTCACGACATGTGGCATACTCCATGCCTAATGGAGAACCCGGCCACCCAGGCCCAACTTCCGAGGGAAGCCCAATCAGCCCTAGGTTTACCTAAACCTAGAATGGACACGTTTCCCAAGGTTATAAATACCTCCCTTAATCCTCATTAACGGGACACGCAAAAAAAACATTACGGAACACACTAATAGCCGGCTGATCTCGCTAACAAAGCAGATTACCTACATTAAACACTCTCACCTAGAGAGACCTTATTACTTTAATTTCCGCATTAATTACTCCTTAATCATGTACTAACTTGACCGTTGGAGGCGGAGCTCACAGGAGTCTCCGTTATTTTGCAGGTACAGGCGTCCGGTTCCAGTCTCGGAATTGTAACTCTCCCGCAGGACATCAGAAAACCCCGAAACATTTGGCGCCGTCTGTGGGGAGAGTACTTCAGAGATGGCATCCAAGTCTGTACCGACTCCTGAAGAGAGGCGTCCCCTAGACGACCCTCAAGTTCAGTCGGACCATGACACCGAAAGTGAATTTGAAGTTGAAACTCATACAGCTTCAGACGGGACCCTAAGGGCCCGACGTACCCGTCATACCGAAAGGAGGGAACGGGAGCATCTTCAAACAGGAAGCGAGCCAGCAGGCGCACCGCCTGTTCGGCAACAGCCGACTGATGGGTCTGCTCCCATCACAAGGAACGAACTCATGACCTTCATGAGGGATTTCAAGGGAGAGATTCAAGAGTTGATCAACAAGAAGTCGACTGCTCCAGTCAAGGAGCAGTCGGCCAAGAAACCCTCCACTTCACTGAAGAGGAAACCAGTTCAAGGGCGAGAGGCGACTCCTCATCCTAAATCTAGGAAGCGGGAGCCACCTGCCCTTGATTTCACAAAATTCCGTTATCCTACAGGAAATAGGAAACCGGTTCGTCATATTCAGGCGGACGGGTCGAAGCAAACATTCACAGATGCTCGGCTACTACTAGAGCAGAAGAAGAGTGACCGATTGTCAGAGTCGGCTTCTACTTCAAACTTTCAAGACAGTTTGCGAAATTCCTCGATGAGGCATACTCAGTCGTACCATGAGAGTCAGTCAGGCGGCACCTCCCGTCAGTCCGGCTTTCATAGTGCCCAGGCGGTACCAAACTTACCATTTGTGCCGCAACAACAGTATTTTATGCAGCCACCTCCATTTGGTG